CCACCCCTCGCGCACCCGCCCCATCCCCCTCTCATTGTCTCGCCTCGGAGCGCCTCGCCGAGCGAAAAGATAACGGAACCCCCGGGAGAAGGGGGTGGGGAGAGAGAAGGCTCGCCCGCTCCCTCACTCACCTCCCGTGGTCGTCGCCGCCGGTAGTCTGACCCGAGGAAGGCGCCGTCGCCTTAAAGGGACCTTGCACCCGGCGCCGGGAGAAGGGGGTGGGAGCAGGGGAGGGGACGGGGGCTTGGGGGAGACGGCTGAGAGGGAACCGTTGAGAGCTCGTCTCCCCGAGGGTAAAAGGAAACCTCCCTCGGGTTCGAGTGATTTGGGGTGGATTTTTTTCCCGAGGGGGGCGGGGGGGCCCCGAGGGAGGGGGGTGGGGGGGCCAAGGAATGCGGCTCCGTGTACGGGAGCTGGCGCGGGGGAGAGAGACGCCGACTCCCCCCACCGACCCTCTCGCCCCGCGGAGGGATACGTCTCGTCACTTCCGCCCTCCCCCTCTCGTGGCCTTTCAATTGGTTGGAGCGTGTGGCACGTCATGGGCTCATCCTAACCCCTGCCCGGGCTTCTTTTCTAGTCAAGTTTGTCTGGGCCTGCAAATAAATAAATAAATAAAAACATTTTTTTTTTTTAATGAAATAAAGAATAATTAGTTTCAGAAGCAACATCTAAATTTTGGTGAGAAAAATGGGATTTCCAAAGAAAATATTGCCCAATTCACTTGCCTGGACTTTCCAAGGAAATTTTGGGAATCTCCCCACTTTCCACTCAAGGCTTGTACCTAACCAAGAAGGGAACCTCATGCCACAAGCCAGATGGTGAGGCCCAATGGCACCAACAACTGTCATTGGAACAAAGGCAGCAAAATGGCACATACTCTTCCTCAGGAGACATTCAGCCAAGTAGTCTATGGCAGTAGCCTTAAGTGAAGAACTTTTAAAAGCCATTTTTACTCTGAACGCTTCTGGATTCTGGAAAGAAATCACATATATTGCTTATTAAAGTGATTCATGTATGGAAACTGCTTTGAAGCCATTGTCAATAGACTCAGCAGAGGTCCCCAATTCTAAGAAACTGTAGATTCCACATCTGTGCTTTTTGCTCCAATCAAGGCTGAGATGGATAGGCCCAAAGAAATTGATGGGTCCATTCAAGACCATCCACCTGTAATTTTTCCCCAAACAAAAAGTAACCTCTTTTCCAGGTGGCTAAGAAATTTTGTCCTTCTTTACTTCTAGAGTTGATGATAATATTGTAATATTTTCCTTGGAGATGTGAGTATATTGTTGCTCTCTAAGCAATATACAAATATTTGCTCCAAACCAAATGTAAATCAAAGTACTTAGTGCATGACTGGGGAGATTCAGAACCATATTTATTCATTTTTTTATATATGTACACTCCATTCAAACCACCAGCCTGAAAATAGGCCATGGAAGTAGGCATTACAAATTGTGCACCCATGCACATGTGTATACATGATGCCATCGATTTTCATTCCACTTCATCTCATTTCATACCAAGAACATGTGAATGGTTTCAACTTGTCATTTTTAGCAAGAACTTTATTATCTGGATTGAAAAAAATCACTAATCCTTCTGAAAGTACTTCTGAAGCCTTTCCAGACCTGATCTGGAAAAGCCCATGATGGGATTATGGAATCAATCACCAGAAGACAAATTCTACACGAAGCTCAAATCCTATTTTATGCTTTCCTGCAATAATTATAATTCACTATAATGTTATTTGTCTCTGAAATATTCTTGTTGAAATGTATTTTGCCATACTGAAAGTGCCAGCTTATCCTCTCTGCCAATGAGGTCTAGTCCAGCTGACTGTACTGTGCATAGTTGACCAGTAACCATTAGCATACCATACTGAACAGGTGTCATGCATCCATTCACTTATTCACCACATTTTTATTGAGTGCTTTGCTATATGCAAGCACTGGTCTAGGTGCTGGGAGTACAGCAACAAAAAAAGCAAACAAAATTCCTGATTTCATGAAACTTGTACTCTAGTGGGGAGAGACATACAATATATACATAAACAAATTGTTCCAATATCTATTGTTGAATAACAAATGGCCCCCAAACTTAGTGGCTTAGAACAACAACAATTTTATTATCCTTTCATGGTTCTGGGAGGTGATTAAGCTAAGCAGTTTTCACTTGGAGTCTCATGCAGGGGCTGGGGCTGAAATCATCTCAAAAGCTTCCTCAAATATCTGGAAGTTGGTGATGGTTGTTGGCCAGAACAGCTGACTGTTGGCCTCTCCATGTGGCCTGGGCTTCCTCATATCATAGTGGCTGAATTCCAAGATTGAGTGCCTCAAGAAGACTAGGCAGAGTTTATATGGCTTTTTGTGATCTAGCCTCAGAGGTCACAAAGCATCACTTCCACTACACTTAAAGGCTGCCCTTGATTTGAGGCCAGTGGGAAACGTTTCTCAGAGGAAGTAGTAGAAATATCACATTGTAAGAAGAATCTGTGGCATGGGAAATCTTGTTGTGGCCATCTTGGAAACTATAATCTACCACACATCATATCAGTAGATATATAGTAGGTGATAACATGATAGGTGCTATGGATGGGGAAAAGGGCAGGAGAGGGCAAATTGGGAGTGTGGTACAGAGGTGGGGATGGGAAAGTCCTTATTTTATGTGGGGTGGTTGGAAAAGGCTTCATTATTAAGGCGACATTTGAGCGCAGACCTGAAGAAAGTGAAGGCAACTTTAGAAAGTGAAGTCATTGGAGGATTTTGAGCCCAGGAGTGACATGACCTGACTAACATTTTTAAAGGAACACTCTGGCTGCTTTTAGAGAATAACTGAAAGGGAAAAGGAGTATATGCAGGAAGATGACTTAGCCTTTTGCAATAATCCAGGTGAGGTGATGGTGGCCTGGACCGGGTGGGAACCGTGGAGCTGCTGCTTCCTTCAACTGAGTGAGTTCTGCAGTGTGTTGTTTAGTTCTCTGTGACCTATTTTTCTGTAATTTCGTTTGTGTCCTGGAAGACAAGTTTTGTTTGTTTGTTTTTAAGATTTATTTATTTCTTAGGGGGGGAAGGGGCGGAGGGAGAGAATCCTGCAGCAGGGACTCCCCGCTGAGCACGGAGCCCCACTCAACTCTACTCAGGCTCCATCCCAGGACCCTGAGATCATGACCAGAGCTGAAATCAAGAGTCGGCTGCACAATGGACTGAGCCAACAAGGCGTCGTGCTGGGAGAGAGTTTTGACCTATAATGGCTAACAAAATGTGTGAGTGATGGTGTCCTGCCTGCCACAAAGAAATAAAAGAAGAACATCATGCTGAATGTTGAAATGGGAGTTTTTTTGGGTATGGGAGGCACCTTTGAGGAAAGAGTTCAGGAAACAAGGGTAAGAATCAACAATCAGGGAATGGAGCAAGCTCTTTGCATTATAAGAGATGTCCTAACTATGCCACAGCCAGGACTGATCAACTGTTGAATGACTAATTGTTGGAAGAAAGCAGTAGTAGAGACATTTTATAACTTCGGGGGATGTGAAAAGAACTCCACCACCCTGCAACACTAAAGCAACATCTGCAAAAAGACTCTACAGTTAGTGCTCTCCCATTTCCAGAAATGTATTCCCTGTGCTAAAGATGGAATGCCCATATTAATTTGGACAGTGTTGGAACATTTTGCTGTCCTTAGCTGACACACAAGTTTCTCCTAGAGTGAATAGAACTGATAGCTGTGGTCTCTTATACTTGACCCATCTTGATACTGATGGGAAACCAAAGTAGCAGAGCAGATAACCTGAATTAAAACCTTAGAATTCCATTCACATGTGCCTCTACAACATATTAGGGAGGGGTCTGAAAGCCAATCCAGTTTGGTATATTGGAAATTGTACCCTAATACTGCTGCTAAAAAGCTACCCCTCCCTGTCTTCAGTAGCCAACTTAGAAAAATTGAATCCTCTCCATATGGGTTTCTAAAAAAGGTCAAAAGTTAATGGAAGTCCCAAGTTGGGCATTTCACAGTTAGGTAGCCGGAGACTGTTTCTTTTCTACAGTTTATGGAAACACTTATTTGCTTCCTAGGCTTATGGTTTCTGCCACGAGTTGAAAATTAGAACCACCTGTAGCTTGGAGAGTGTCAAGGCAGAGAGACAAATGATTTCAACATGTTTTCAAAAGCAGTGATCCATGGGTGCCCCTCTGCCCTTGTTTTGCTAATATCCAGACCCAACACCCACTGCTCAGGTTCAGTGTGAAGCTGACCCATAGTTGTCAGCGTGGGGAGTGGAGAGGATTGTGAGGTCAGTCCAGGCAGAAAGCAGCTTCAGTGGGGGACAATGCTAGGTTTCTTTAAAATGAACATCTTGCTCTCTGCAACATACACTCAGGGTGGTCAAACCTAGGAACTCAAAGGAAGCTACTCATTCTGCAAGATGTGAGAGCTAGAAAAACAGTGCAGAAATTTTCACCATCAGAACATCTCCCAGCCCCAAAAGATCAACAGCTGATTGCACTGAACCTGGGAGTCAAGTCCACACATACGAGTGGGAATATATGCATAACGTGATGGGATATGCCTAACTTCATGGGGAAATCATTGTGACATAAAGGGCAAGTGATCTATGTTTGACCAGTGACAAATAAAAAATGGGGAACCCAGAGGCTGCTGCTAGGTTGTATTTAAAAATATTATGTGCGGGGCGCCTGGGTGGCTCAGTTGGTTAAGCGGCTGCCTTCGGCTCAGGTCATGATCCCAGGGTCTTGGGATCGCGTCCCACGTCGGGCTCCCTGCTCAGTGGAGAGTCTGCTTCTTCCTCTCCCTCTGCCTGCCTCTCTGCCTACTTGTGCTCTCTATCTCTATCTAAATAAAATCTTAAAAAAATAAAAAATAAAAATATTATGTGCTACCTCTTTATGCTTAGAAGAGCTGAGGACTTTCCTAGGGGCTCAGAATATTCTCAAGAGGTGAGAAATAACTGGAGGAAGTTTTTAGACTGGATTTCTAAACTAAACGTTGCTGGGGTGCCTGGGTGGCTCAGTTGGTATGTGACTGCCTTCAGCTCAGGTCATGATCCCAGGGTCCTGGGATGGAGCCCCACATCGAGCTCCCTGCTCTGCGGGGAGCCTGCTTCTCCCTCTCCCACTCCCCCTGTTTGTGTTCCCTCTCTCACTGTCTCTCTCTCTGCCAAATAAAGAAATAAAATCTTTAAAAAAAAACCACAGGTCTCATCTTTAAAAAAATAATAAAGTAAAATAAAATAAACGTTACTCGTTAGCTTTCAGTAAAAAGCAACTGAAGGTCTCTGCCTTCCAAATATATTTTGCGAGAAATGGATGAGCA